AAAAAAAAAAAAAAACTGAGTGGACTTTTTTCATGCCCGGGGTACCCCGGGCGGCACCCCACCCCGGGCAGGGTGCCTGGGGCGCCCGGCCGAGCACCCCGGGAAAGCTAGCTGATAAGCTGAATTCCTGATTGATATTATTGTTATATTGAAGCGAAGAAGAAGTTTCAACTCAGGTATGCAGATGGGGATGCTCACGTCATAGATATCGTTACACAGGACACTCCCTGGTGTGAAACCTGCCGCTGGTTCTACCACAAAACGCCAGATTGCCCATACACGGAACCTGAACAACCAAAAACGGGACAAGCAGGCCCATCAAAGATTCAGATCAGGGTAACTGAAGAAATTCAAACAAATCCATCACAAGAAAATGGTGGGCGGGGAAGAGGAAGGGGAACAAGAGTTAGAGGTGACAAGGGGGGAAGTGGGGGGAGAGGAGGTAGAGGTGACAAGGGGGGAAGGAGGGGGAGAGGAGAAAGGGCTGTGAGATACCCTACCCCCCCCCCAACCCACCCTACCCTTCCCCTACCCCCTCTCGGTTGTCTTCCCCCCCACCCGTCTGGCCACCGTCAGAGCACGGATCGCCAGTACAGATGGACAGGAACTCAGAGCTTGCCGCTACCAGTGCAGGCGTTCCAACCCCCAGTGCATCAAAGGCTTTCACCAAGTTATTTGACAACACAATCTTCTCCCCCGAGCAGGGAGGGATACTGAACCAAAGGCCTGTACAGAAAGAACTTGAAGCCCTACGAAAACAGGGCTCAGCGAAGGTAATGAACATGAAGGTTTCGTGTTGACTCATAACTACAGCCCAGTGATCCCAGTGGGCGAATTACGTCCCAAGATGTTACGCGCGATATCAGCACCTGTGCTTCATCCCCTGCCACTCCGTCCGCGGGGGCAACTGCGAAGTACGCAGCCACAGAGACAACCGGGAGCAATCCCGTCCACCCCACACCTGCATCAACCCCAAACAAACGACCGCAATCTCCATATAAGCAACGAAGAATGGTGCATGGACTGGTGGAAAGGGACTGTCCTAAACAATCTGACTCGTCTCCAGAACTCATAAGAAAGCTCCCCAATCAAAAGCAAAAGCAGTGGCAACCCCTGCTTATGGACATTCCCAGTCCCAAGCCTAACATGCAACAGGATTGGCAGGTTCCCAAGCCGGTTACCACAGCGTAAGGCATGGAAGCAGGCAAACGCACACAAGCCTCAAGCATAGGTCACGATTCTGACAACAACACTGTCAAAACGTTGCAGCAGTCTGGCAGTAAAGATAAGGTGATAAGGAGAATTGTTCCTCTTATCTGTGTGGGTCTACACTTGCAAACGTCCTCTGCCTCAGTATTGACGCAGGCCAAGGAAAGAAAGTGTTACCCATCCTCCCTTCGGAGGAGGAGGAGGAGGTTGGTAAACCCCTTCAGGCCTGGTGATGTTGGACAAAGCAAGGAAACTATCAATGGACACAAATGCCCTGTGAAAAAATGATGAAAGGCTACAAGCTAGAACGCCGCACACTCGTGGGCAACTCAGGAGCAATGTACCTGGTGTTTGTGCGCATATTGGAAAAACATGAAACGGTATTCATTCATCTGTTAGCAGTAGCGAATGCAGATCCCAGGGCTCGATCACTAGTTCTTACCTTACCTGTGTACAGTACCTGTGTCGACGCCGAGAGTTGAACCCGTGACCTGTGTATTCGCAACAGTTGGTAGGCTGTCGTAGGTCCGTAGGTGGTAGGGGTTCGATCTGTAGACCTGTCGAGCAGAGGTCTTAGCAAGTTCTACAAGTCGTAGCTGTAGCCCTTCTGAAAGGTCAAGTTCGTAGCTGCTGCAGTGTCGAGGCCAAGTCCACAGACTTCCGGAAGGTCCGGAAGTGGCCCTTTCAACGTTGCTCACAGTAGACTAGAGGCAAGTGGGCAAGTGGTGAAGTCCACCCTTGCTGAGTCAGCGGTACCCAGGCCCAGTCGCACCTAGTCCAGTCAGCAAGTACCATATGGGACTGTGTGCACCAGGGGCCCGGTGGAAAGAGGCAGACCAGCGACTTCCAGAAGTATAAATCAGGAGGCAGCGTCCAGCCATTCATTCATTCCTGCATAAGCCATGTGGAAGCGCTGCTTGAGCGACTTGTGTGAGTTGGTCTGCAGAGTGCCCGAAGACGGAGTGGGCTGAAGGAGATAGTTAGCCAGAGCCATAGAGGGTCAGCGGCCATAGCCGCCATAGCTGATAGACGAGTGTGTACGAGAGTGTGTGTATGCGTGTGGGGTATCCAGGGTGATCCAGAGTTGAGTGAGTGCGAACAGTGGTGCTGAACAGAGAGACGAGGGTTGGTATGTACAGGCACTGATGCGCCGTAGCCTGTTGAAACGAGATTGTATCTGAACTGTGTTTTCGACTCCCATATCTTTGAGCTTTGAGAGGGCGCTGTGCGCCAGTGTGACTCACCATCTGTTTGCATGAGTGCAAAGTGGAAAAGAAAGTGAGTCTGATTGCAAACAAGGCTTCCACAGCGGCTGCAGAGGAACTCAGGCAGGCAGGAGTCTCCTGGTTTCCTCTGCATCTACTGACCACCCCCCCATGCAGTGGAGTTTGAAACGCTGCTGCTGGAAGGAGGATGGTATCCATCCAAAATTTATCGCAGATTCCGCAACAAAGAACTTCTTATCGACTCACTTCAGAAAACTATTCTGAACCTGGGAAAAAGGGAAAACCACCTTAACTCCTGGATACCGCAGGAGCCTCAGGTGCCATGCTTATGAGCCGCATCCAGTACTTGACAGGCTCAGCAGCAGACAATGGTGGTCATACCTGAGCTACGCATTGTCACTTGGAATGTTAGAGGACTTGGAGACACCAATCATCGACAGAAGAAATCCAGACTGAAATCGCGGATTCACCAAAACAAAGCAAATGTTATCTTTCTACAAGAAACAAAACTAAACTCAGAGAAAATCTCCTCCCTCAGTCACTGGTGGGAAGGACCACGATGGTGCTCCCCCCGCACAGGGAACGAGAGGAGTCGCGATTCTATTACATAGGAACTCAAACCCAGTTGTCATTGATGAATATGTAGATATCTGGGGTAAGTACATTTGGATTGAAGTCCAGATTGATGAGGAGTGTTGCACCTTCATGAATGTATACACACCCATCTGACTACACCGAAAGACTTGAATTCCTCACTAAGCTACCATCAAATTGGCATCAATGGTGTACCAGACTCCCCCAACCTTGTCCTGGGAGGAGACTGGAATACGATATTGAATCCTGGTCTAGATTCCTTTACATCGGACAGAATATGAATGGACACTATTTTACTGCCCTCATTCATCGAGAGGCTTGAGTTGGTAGACCCGGTTAGACAGACATGCCGTCGTGAAAATGGATTCACTTAGTTCTCATCATAGCTAACTCAGGACACGCCACCAATAAGGAGAAGAAGATTAAACTATTTCCTAACGGATGAGTCATCCTGGGACTTGCTGTCCAAAATAGTCGATGTCATCCCCGACCCAATGTCGGACCACAATCCGATCCTTGCCTCCCTACACCGCTCCACGGCGGCAGAAAGAGGCCCTGTTTTTTTCAGACTCTACACATTCCTCCTCAAGGACAATGGAGTACAAGACTGGGTGAAGGAGCAAATAGCTGACTGGGACAAGGAAAAATAATTTTTTGACTCGTAATCGGAATTGGTTTGATGCTGGCCTTAGAATAATCCCCCAAGGGGTCTAAGCATCCTCTCCAAAACTAGAGCCCTTCAAAACACGCAAGAAGAACAAAAATGTTTAGCATTAACCCGAATTTAATCGTCGACGCAGAACGGAAAGCAACAGGACACCTCATTTCAGTAACCTATTGGTTAATGAAACGGGCGGAGTATATGAATCGGTGGGAAGAAATTCTTCAAGTAAAAAAAAGTGGAAGAGTGGACTGAAGGGCAAGAATCAAAACACTAACTACAACAGACAGAGTAACCAACGAACAATTCCAAAGAATCTTGCCACAAAGGAAGGAAACACATCCCAATGAAAGAAGAAGAACTAGCCCATCCCTTTTCGAGGGCAGTGCCTCTGGCAAACACACCTTTAGATGAGATGTGCGAACACGCGCGTATGTACTTCTCAAAAATATCCTTTACGTCACGCCAGCAACCCCTTGAAGTTTATCCACATTTTGCAGCATTTGCACCCTTCTAGGAGGCCGCTAAGGTGGCTCTAAATCATAATGTGGGCTCTAAAATCATAATGAGAAATTACTAATTAGATAATCCCATCAATCGTAAAGAGCTCACACATGCTAAAGATCAAATGGCACTTGGCAAATCCCTGGGGGAGGATAGGGATAGATGGCCTGCCTGTGGAGTTCTACTCTACATTCCGGGCAGAACTGGCCCCGGCTGTACATCGAGGTACTGGAGGGTAAGACTCCGGCCACTGCTATGACCAAAGGAATCATTTCCCTAATGTACAAAAAGAAAGGAGAAAAATCAGATATAAGGAACTGGCGATCAGACTTGGCCTGTTCCATATTGGTCGCCAGTTCCTTATATAAGGAGATTATTGACGATCAGACTTGGCCTGTTCTTACCCAAGTTGGTAGGATACATCAAGGACATTACTGAAAAGATTATAGGATACATTAAGGACATTACTGAAAAGCTTATCGGATACATCAAGGACATTACTGAAAAGCTTATCGGATACATTAAGGAAATTACTGAATGTATCTTATAAGTTTCTGGGAAAAACCCTGGCAAGTTGGTAGGTCCAGAGCAAGGGGCCAGTTCCTTACCCAAGTTGGTAGGTCCAGAGAAAGGGGCTGGCGGCCAATTGCATTACACCGAATCATTTGACTGGTGTACAAAAAAGGGGCCAGTTCCTGAAGAGGGTCCTTGCACTCTATACTCAAGCGACTGAGGCAGCGATGGTGGTCAACGGAAAAAGTCCATCCACCTTCAAAGTTCAAACTAAAAAATAAAAAAATAAAAAATAAAAAAATAAAATAAAATAAAAACACACACTAACTAACTATGTCCCTCAGGCAAGGGTGTCCCCTTTTGCCCCATTTCTATTTGATCTCCAAATAGAGGTGCTACAAAACAATATTAAATAACTCCCAAAAATCAGAGAGTTAACAGTGAGAGAGACCGACAGTGCAAAGGAGGAGCACTTGCCGATGACCTGCTCACAATCTGTTCCAACTCCACTGAGGACCTAACAGAACTCCGGACTACCCTATTACCATTCTCTGACGCATCGAAGGCCTCTGTGAACTGGAATAAATCTGTCCATATCCTTCCAATCGTCATACGAACTAGCAGTGTCATGGGCCATGAAGAGAGTCCCGGCAGATGCAGCTGAGCGCTTCCTGGGTGTTCAAATTTCTCTGGCAAAGGCGGCGCAACTACAAGATGCCATCTTGGTGGAAAAAGTGGCTGCAAGCATGAACAGACTAGTAAACACTATATGTCACTTTCAATTCTTCGTAGGGTGTTGGTGATCTCCATCATGTCCTTCTCCCAATTGTGGTTCGTAGGAGCAGTCAGGGGACTGGGATATGAAGCATACAAACTTACAAAGTCATCAGGTGCAATGCGGCGGGACAACTGTTGAAACCACCGGCTGAACGGGGAAAATCCTTTATTGCGAAAGTCGCTTGAAAATCAATATCATATGCATGTCTACAAACAAAGGGGGCCTAGGAATTCTGGATCCTGAAGACCAGATCGCTACCCTCCTGGTCAACCAACTGGCTAATGAAAGCTGCACCGGACGTAGACGCAGAGGGCTGGGTGCTGATGGCGGAACAGATTCTAGGAGACAACTGGAATCTGAGCCCGCCATCAGATGTATGGTTAGGCGCTACGCTACCCTCATATGCCAGACAAAAGCCCAAATCAGAACTATTACAGTCAAACATTTGGACAACATGGGAGAAAATTAAACCAAGGGCCCTAACCAATCCCATAATATTATCCAGAACCGAAATCCTAAGACAACCGTTGTTCGAAAACCCGAGAATAACGGACCAAGGGGGTAACCCCTTCCTGGCTTCAAATGCTAGTGGGGTTTTGGAGAGAAAATGGAGAGAGAAAGGGGTCCTGCGAGTGGATGATCTGTGGGACGAACAGTCGCTGGATTGGTTTCAGCGAACCGGACCTAAGGGCTAAGCTAGGAAGATTCGCCCTTGTCGCGCACCGCCGACACCACCTTATCGAGGCTCTTCCAGAAGAGTGGAAGGATCTGTCTGATTTTCACGAGGAAAGAACATCCCCCTGGCCGGTGGTATAGACCAGAAACGGAATTGGCATGCAATGTTCCATGCAAGGTAATAGAAGTGGAAACCGAGTTTTCACTCAAAGTTCGAAGACTGGGAAACTGTGGAAGTGATTGGCCAATCAGTAACCCCTACTTCTGTTCCTGTCCAGATAAACGAGATGTCAAGAGTCCCATCAATTTTTTTCATCCAAAGACAGGTTCCCTGAAGTTCAAGGGCAATTTTGACTGGCCAATGAAAAAAAAGCCAATACCAAAATATTGAGAATACTAATTGAAAATTATTTATTTGGATGAAAACAAAAATGCATGGGCCTCTTGACATCTCGTTTATCTGGACATCAACGGCGGAAATAGGGGTTACGGGAACTGTCCGAGCCGGAAGAATAACTCTGGCGACCAATTCACAACAACTTACTTCGGTCGCTGAAGTTAGACCTGATGTACGTAAGCTGGACTGATTACAAAAAAAAAAAAAAAAAAGCTCGACTGATAAGCGAGGTAGGCAAATCTCACGCGATCAGTACATGGCCAAAATGGTTCTCAAGGAGGAGATTCATCAAACCAGGAAGCACATCACGCCAACAGAACTGTGGCGTTCGGAAGAAGACTCAAATAAAAAGACGACAACTGGTCCAAATGTGGATCGCATGCCCTGTTTTCCACAAGCATCTGGGGTTGGTGGCAATCCAATTGGAAAAAACGGCAGGCACAAACCTCAAATGGTGATATTCACACAACATCCATGATATCAATAGCAAGGACAACGCGAACTCAGTGTCGACCCAAAGGTCTAATGGAACTCAAGCATGCAACCAAAGAGAGAGAGAGAGAGAGAGAGAGAGAGAGAGAGAGAGAGAGAGAGAGAGAGAGAGAGAGAGAGAGACGAAGGCAGATATGACATGTCAACATCTCCCGAACGCGAAACAGGCTCATTATAGAAAAACTTGACGAAACAGCCTGAAAAGCTCAGCTCCAAGGTAGGCGTCATGCCCATGACGTGATAACCATAGCTAAGCAACCGGCGACGACAAAAACGAGCCACGCACATGTAGTACAATTCCTCAAATGGACTGCGGAATGAATCCCCTTTTAGGGATACCCCCAGCAGAAGTTGGACCCGGTCAGGAGTTGGGTTATATATTGCTAACTAAGGTTATCTGGGTCATCATCTGCTGGGAGCTATGGTTAAGCAGGAATTCAGCTGTGTTGAGGGGAGACAAGCCAGCCTTCATGGATCTGAAAGCTGCAAACCCCGTAAGTATGCACAGAACCATCTGCGAAGACCAGGTTCAGTAACACCAGGTTCAGTAACACCAGGTTCAGTAACACCAGGTTCAGTAACACCAGGTTCAGTACTACCAGGTTCAATAAGACCAGGTTCTGTACGACCAGCTGTATTGGAAAGTTCTCCACGCAACGTCAAGTGACAAAGGCATGTTGTGTGGTTCCAGAAGAAGACCAGGTGCATTAACAACAACATCCTCGCAAGCATCAACGGTCAAGGCAAGTCGAAGATGGCATCGGGGCTCTGGAGTGAGCCTCAGGCAGTATTGCCTCAACTGGAAACAGGTAGACTGTAGTGAAGCTTAAGTTTAGCCTCGTTTTGTAAGTCGCTCAGACAGCATCAGCTGAGAGGGCTGAACCTGAGTTATAGTTATGTAAAGCTACAGTGATTACGAGGGTTGAACCTGAGTTATAGTTATATAAAGCTACAGTGATTACGAGGGTTGATTTTGGAAGCTGGGCCTGGTTTCAAGCAAGAAGACACAGCTTCGACAACAGTTCCACCGGGTCGAATTGTGGGGACCCCGCCCCCCCCCCAAAAAAAAAGGCACGCAAGTGGCATTCAGGAGGTCTTGGGTTCAATTCCCTACATTGGCCTCATGTACCTTCCTGGGCATGCTTGGCGCCCGCCACCTAGAGATAGCCTGTTGGTCCCCCCAATTGGCATTAAAAAGCAGTCTCTGCTGATGTTCATAGGGGAAGGGGTAATCGGGGAGGCACACCGACTGGCCACTCAGATGATGCTCGGTCCCTCTGCTACCGGCTGTCCCCTGGCCGGTGTCCCCCATTGGGGGTTCCCTGAATTCAATAAATAAAGGCCACCCTGGGCTGAAAAGGCCACCGGGTCCCGATGTCAGATTAGACACAATACAGAATTTACCTGGGCTGGTTAGTCCGATGATAATACCTCAAGGCCATCGCCCTTTCAAAAAAAAAAAAAAAAAAAAAAAAAAAAAGGGGGGGGGGGGGGGGGGGGGGGGGGGGGGGGGGGAGGTGAGGTGGGGCCAGAAGCAGAAGAGGAAAGAGCAGCAAAAGGAGTCGTCAAAGTAATACCATGAGCCGAATTCCGAAAAGTCTCTCAGATGATTTGTTGGTTGGCAGAATGATCTGTTTGCGCTGCTCCTCCCTCCTCCCTCTCCTCCTCCCTCTCCTCCTCCCCCTCCTCCCTCTCCTCTCCCTCTTGCTTGACAGGTCCTCGGCCGCCACTGATCCTTTGATCTGCTGCTGAGTGTTCTTCCTTTATCCCGACCTGCTCCTCCTCCTCCTCCTCCTCCTCCTCCTCCTCCTCCTCCTTCGCGGCGGTCCTGACGGCGTTCGCACTCAGATAACTCCTGCCTTTCTGACCCTCTGACATCTGACAAGCAGCAGAGGTCTGCAGGCTGGCGGCGCTCACTTGCATGCGCATCTGCCTGTCACCAAAGGCAGACCTGTCTGCTGACGTGGCGCTCGACCGCAGCACCGCAGACGGGGCATCTTGACCAATACACTGTTGCTGACGTGGCACTTGTTGCGGCGAACACGATAATCTACTCCACCCTCTCCCAATCCCGATCCTACTGATACCAATCCCGATGATTTCAGTCCGTGGCCGAATGGTACTGATCGGGATCTCGTTCGGGTTGGCACCACCACTCCAGCCTCTTGTTCCCCCCCTCACGCCCTTCCACACAGCAGCAGCGATCCCTGCAACGGCAACAATCAGACCAAATACAAGTCACATGTCAGGACCTCTATTTATTTATTTATTTATTATTTATTTATTTTTTGGGGGGAAGAATCAAAAGCTTTTATTGCCTCGACTAGGGCACTCGGTCGTCTAGGGCCGCGGTGGGCCGTTAGGAGAGTGTCAGTAGGACAAGGACGCAGTCCGCTGGGCCATTTTAGTCCCAGCTTTGAGCATCCGTACCGGGTATGTGATCTAGTTATGATGCGAATTCTGGATGAAGTAAAAGTCCCTGTTAAATTCAACCATCTTTGTTGTATTCAGTGACTCCCTCTATGATTGATTGAGATGCTCTACGAGGTTGTAGTACAGATCAGATAGCCAGCTCCTAGAATAGCAAGCCAGATCAAATAGCAAGCATAGACTCAACTGGCTCAGCAGCTTTTTCGATCGACTGGGGTCTGCTTAGGGAATAGGAAGTGGTAACATTGGAAGTGTAGTGTTGTTAGGCTCTGTGATTTAGTAGGGAATTGAGTAGGAGTTTGGAAAGTTGGCAGATTCAACTTTCTGCAGGTGCAAACCTGTAAGCTACGCTGGCTGATGCTGCCAGAACTTCCGGGTAGAATTGTGAGGTCCCCGGCCTCTGTTTTATTATTATAAGGAACTTTGATGCTTAATTAAAAAAAAAAAAAAAAAAAAAAAAAGCTTTTATTGCCAACAGAAAGAGGCCGGAAAAACCCTGGGGCCAATACCCAGTTGTGGGCTCTGTCAGGACCTCTATTTATTTCCGCCTCTTGCTTTCTTTTCCGTGTGAAAATAGAGCGACATTGAAACCTGGACCAGGTTTTGTTTTTTTTTTTTATGTTTTTTTTTGTTTTTACCAGGTTTTGTTTCATCCGGACCACGTTCTCTATTCCCTACTGATGGCGTTCTGTTCCATATGCCCGAGTTTTTTTTCTTTCCAAATCTCTCAATTGCAACTCCATAGTTCTCAAAAGGGACCGTACTCGTCTCTAATCCTCACTCCAGTTAGCCACACACCAATTGGGTAATTTTGGGTCCTCCGTACAGCTGGGGCCGTAAGCGTAAGCAAATGAGGGACACGCCCGACTTTTCGAACCGCGTGCACCGCGGTCTGTCCCATATGGATGGGGCTTTGTAGACCACGGACCACGTTCTGTTCCACACGGACCACGCTTTCGTTCCCTACGGACTGTGTTCTGTTCCACACGGACCACGCTTTTGTTCCACACGCACCACGTTTATGTTCCACACGGACCACGCTTTTGTTCCACACGCGCCACGTTTATGTTCCACATGGACCGCGTTCTGTTCCACATGGACCACGTTCTGTTCCACACGGACCACGTTTATGTTCCACATGGACCACGTTCTGTTCCACATGGACCACGTTCTGTTCCACACGGACCACGTTTATCTTCCACATGGACCACGTTTATCTTCCACATGGACCACGTTTATCTTCCACATGGGCCACGTTCTGTTCCACATGGGCCACGTTTTGCTCCACATGGGTCACGATCTGTTCCACCCGGACCACGATCCGTTCCACCCGGACCACATTCTGTTCCATGCGGACACCGTTTTCCCATCCACACCGCTCTGTCAGGTGTTCATAATGTTTGAAGGGACTCTCTGGCCCATCCATTCTGTTGCCCATGGGCGATGTTTCGTTGGAGAACGTCATGTGCTAACAAATGAAAAAAAAAAAAAAAAAAAAAAAAAAGAAAGAAAAAGAAAAGAAATGGAATCCTTCTCCCGTAGTGACTATGCGACTTTGATCAGGCACGACGTGCAGGCCCATGGGTTGGAGCCATTGTGATAGGAACCCTTGAGCGCCCTGAACAACGTGGACGACAACGATAATGTGTCCCACGTGGCATGTTGTTGTCGCACGTGCACGGTGATACTTCATTCCACGTGGAACGATGTTCCCTTCCAAGTGGACCACACTCGTTCTGATCTTCTTTTTTTTCCCAGTTAGATCAGATTCCTTCCACGTGGATCAACACTCGGTGAGGAAAGGGACCAGGTTCTGATCGACGTTCGAATGAACCTGACTTCAAAAATAGACCAGATTCATGGTCACTGACGCAAGCAGCATGTCCGACTTCCTTCGCTATCATCCGCCCCAGCACTTTCAAGTTCCTCCACATGGACTAGATTCCCGTGGAGAGACATGAATGCCCCTGGCCTCGAATCTGTCCAAGAACAGAGAAAAAGGCGGTCGGCCACTTTGGCGTCAACCAGATTCTTCACCGCCGATCTTGCAAAAAAATCCCTTCAATCAATCAATCAATCAATCAATCAATCAATGAATCTGCTTATCATTTCATATATTCCTGTTCCTCCACATGGACTAGATTCCCGAGGAGACATGAATGCACCTGGCCTCGAATCTGTCCGAGAACAGAAAAAAAAAAGGCGGCCGGCCACTTTGGCGTCAACCAGATTCTTCACCACCAATCTTGCAAACAAACCCCTTCAATCAATCAATCAATCAATCAATCAATCAATCTGCTTATCATTTCGTATATTGCTGGGCAGGACGTGTCACTTCATCCTCTCGCCCTGGTTCTGTTTCATCTTTTGGGTTAACTCGTTAACCATCGTTAACCCAACCTCTCGCCCTGGTTCTGTTTCGTCTTCGGTTAAACTCGTTAACCATGGTTAACCCAGACTCTTGCCCTGGTTCTGTTTCATCTTGGTTAACCCAGACTCTTCGCCTGGTTCTGTTTCGTCTCCGGGTTAACTCGTTATAACCATGATTAATCCAGACTCTCGCCCTCGTTCTGTTTCCTCTCCGGGTTAACTCGTTATAACCATGGTTAATCCACACTCTCCCCCTGGTTCTGTTTCGTCTTGGGCTTAACTCGTTACAACCATGGTTAATCCAGACCAGACTCTCGCCTTGGTTCTCTTTCATCTTGGTTAACCATCGTTAACCATGGTTAACCCAGACAATGAACCACAGACGACAGACAGCAGCGAGAGAACCAACGACACGTGTTAAAAACGTTTAATCACCACACGCCTAAGCCACTGACCAAGTCACGTCGTACCCGATGACGACATCGGTGTTGAGGAACTCATACTCTCTTTGACAACGGAAGCAAGGGGTTAGTTCCCCGTATGCCCGGTATACCATACCTACCCATGTCAGTTTACACGCTTGTATTTCTTAATTGTTATATCGTGTGAATTGCGTGTGAAGAGCAATCAGCCATTGCTAGTCTTTATCCTATACCTATACCTATACCTCCTGTAAGCTGATCAGGAACTTTATCGAGTGGTACTTTCATGTTTTTTTTTTTTGGGGTTCCGATGGACCACGGATCAGATCAGATATTGAACTCACCACAACAGATACTGCACACTCGATCTTTAATATTCTTTATCCACCAGGCCTACAACGCCGACAAAGGCATTTTAGTTAAGGGTAATTGCAGACATAGCGCGTTGTTTTGGAAGAGTTTCGCAGCAGAAAGTTTAAAAAACGTTGTAGGGGTCCGAAAGATGTATTTTTGTGGGGAAAGTGGGACCCCGCCTGCAAATATTTTTGCGGTGAAACTACAGCGACGCGCTATTATTGAAACTTACACTTATTAAAAAAAAAAAAAAAAAAAAAAAAAAAA